GATTATTAGTTAGCCATAACGGGCAATATTTTAAAGTGAGTTTCACAGTTTAACAGAGATAAGGAGAATAATTTATCTTGCCAAAAGGTGATACAAAGTAATTGAACCAGTCTGTGTGGACGTTGACGAAAAAGAGACAATTATTTAAAGTCTGAGATACAACTGTGGTCCACGGGGTAACGTAAGTGAATTTATTGCATAGTGCGTACTAAGAAACAGAGTTTTTTCTTTTTTTTTATTCCTGTAAACTCCCAGTGGAGCATAGGGCCGCAACAACACCTCGCCAACGGAAGGTGTTGTTGCAGTTACTTGTAGGAGGTTGGTTTTTACAGGGTGGAGTTGCTAGCCCCGCGCCCAATCCTCCTCCTTTCTCATCCTGGACTTAGGATCACCTGGCCATGCCGGGCCTAAGAAACAAAGTAGAGAACAATAATTGTCTTGTATATTGGATTCTAAAGTAATTGAATCAGCCTATGTGGACTTTTGACAAGAAAAGAGAATTATTTAGAGTTTTAGATACAACTGTGATATCTTATAATGTAAATAATTTTTGTTCATACGTTTGACTAATTTTGAATATATTATTTTAAAACAAGTGGATTGTGTGCTGTTCGTTTGTTGTTCGAATTTATCGCCAACAAGTTACAGACACCTACTGTAAAGAATCCAGCTCCATAAAATTGACATATGTTAACAGGAACGGTTTCCATGCTTTTGATCATAAGTTTAAATTCTTTGTATATCTGCGTTACATATAATGTATGGACAAGAAGGGACCTATTGTTCCATCTGGGTCGTCCCATCCCTATACTAACTCTAAAATAAAATTAAAATATTCAAAGTCAGCTCTCTTCATTCAAATATTTATCAAACTTAATTTTAAAATCCCTTAAATTAACAGAATCTAACAACCAATGTCTAAAGCTAACCACCTTATTATAAATATAAAGCTGTCCTATCTGAGAATGACTCTTGTGTCCCTTACTTCTACCATTCTCACCATAAAGGACGAAAAAAAGAAACGGTGCACTAACACTCTCAACAATCTTGAACACCTCAGAAACTTTAACCTGTCCTCATATGATAACCTTTCCAGCCCAGGCATCATCCTAGTAGTCCTCCTCTTAACCCTTTTCAACAATAAGGCCAAGACTGAACACAGTACTCCAAATGCAGCATAACCAATAACCTATACAATGAAATTATAACCTCTTTAAACTTGTATTCAGTATTTCTGTAGATACAACCTACAATCCTATTTAGCCTGCTACTAGCAACAGCACATTGTTTAGATGGCTTAAGAAGCTGATCAACTAGAACACCAAGATATTTTCCTTCCATAACACTGTTATTGTAATTCCCATCAAAATTATACTCGTAATTAAAATTATAATAATCCAAATACACTCTTTTACCTCTATCATAATTAAAATCCATCTGCTATTTATTTGCCCACCTCACCAAATAATTCAAATCCTTTGTAAAGCAGCAGCATCCTACTCACAGCCAGCAACACCCAGAATCTTAATATCATCAGCAAATTTAGATAATCTATTGACAGCTCCTTCATGCTCCTCCATTTATGTCATTGGTATAAGTCAAAAATAGCAAATGTCTCAATACTGAGCCAAGGGGTAACTCAGTTATGACATTAAACCAATTTGACTGATCTCCATTTATAACAACGTTCTGCTTTTCTCCATCCAGTCAATTTCTTATCCAATGAGCCAACTTATCACCCACACATACAAAGATAATTTTTTACAAGCCTTTTATGTGGCACCTTGTGAAAAACAACCTGAAAATTTAGATACACAAACATCTTTTATCGAACTTTCAAAGACTTTCTCATCACTGATTAGAACTATAATAGGCATATAGATACTGGGACAATTTTTATCACCTCCCTTGAAAAGAGGAGTAACGTTAGCCAACTTCCAATCTTTTGACTACTATTTAAGAACTTACAAATAATAGCAGCGAGGGGCTCAAATATTCAATTCTTAACCTCCTTAAAGACCCATTGGGGAAATTTTATCTGGCCCAGGAGCCTTATCATTCTTCAAATATTGGTCCTAACAAGCTCAGAATTAATGTAACCATCTTGTTCGATCTTGTTTCTGTCTAGCAACTATTTAGAATAAGGATCATTGCATAAATCTTCATTAGTAAATATTGAAAAAAAAGAAGAATTTAATAGCCCAGCCATCTCATAATGATCGGGTATGAGCTTTCCTGTATCATCCCTGGAAGGCCATACTCCCATCCTGACATTTTGCTTACCATTAATCCTTACTATTATTTTCAGTCAACCTTTTTTTCATATAGTTTTTATTTCCGTTTGACCAACTCTCTTGATTTTCTATAATCCTCCAAAATCTCCCGTCATTTCAGTCAGTTTAAACATCATATAATTATAATGTTTTTCTTTTCTTTTATCCGTTATACACTTTATAAACCACCCTGGTTTTTAAACTTGTAGCCACATTTTTTATTTTTTTTCTATAAGGAAGATGCTTACCTTGAATATCTAAGAATTTAATTATAAAAATTTTCCACATTTTATCAGTACCTCCGATTTATTCAGTTGCTCAATTCACAGTTCTTCTTTCATCCTTTCAAAATTTACTTTATTGAAATTTTGAACGAAAATATTATTATTTCTTATCTCCACGTGTAGCAAAATATCAAACAGTTTCTGCAAATGAAGTTTATCTTTACTATAGTCCTGTGCTAAATTTCAAGGATTGCAAATTCTTAAACGTTTATTTATTTCAATCAAGCGCAAACGCGCACAATGGGCTATTTGAAGTACTTGGGCTTCGGATTTTAGAATTATAAGCCCTTAAACTTACCGATAAACCACTGGTGCTTTTTTTAAAAAAATATACTTACAAGCTTTATTTATCGAGTGCTTCACTAAGTTAGTTCGAAAGCTGTATTTGAGCCGTAACTCAGTTTTGAAAATTTCTGCATGTATAATAATAAAATGTTAGATAATACGTTATGCATACCTCTATGGGGATGTGCTGTCAACGAACGTACATTTTTTTTTTTTTTTTACAAAAGGGGAAAATGTTATTTTATAAAAAATGACGTATAAAACCATAGGATTTATGATTGGTCGAGTACGTGCTATAAGAGTGTGATGTAATAGCAATCTCGTCAATTTGTTTTAGTGTAAGGCTATGTAGTGGTTTATCTGCGCTATGCCCACCAGCAATCTAAACTCTAATTGTACGATTTAAGCCCTGAAGCTTTCCGCTGAGCCACTTGGGGGTTTCTCTTCAGAAAGCTAAATACTGATACACTTCTCTGCTAGCAATAAAATAAAATTGAAACCACCCGGTAACCTACCGATCTCTTGTTTTTATACTACAAGTTTATTTTGATATTAGTGTTGTTGTTGTTGTAATAGGAATATTTTGAACAATTTTATAAAAACGATAAAGATAATTTTCATAGTAAGTATGACAGTTCAACGTATCTGTTAATAGTTTCTTGCAAAATATCAAAAGAACACACGATGCATTATATACATATTTACAAATGGTTATTTATTGATATCTACTGTAGCATAGAACCAACCAAACTAACAGGTGTCCGAGAAATAAATCAGGGTGTAAACAAATTTGTGTTTGTTCCATGAAGTAAAGAAGGTACTGTAGAATGTTTCATTGTTAAGTCTATGTAGTGTAGAATGTGTCATTGCTAAGTCTACGTGGTGTAGAATGTTTCATTGTTAAGTCTACGTAGTGTAGAATGTTTCATTGTTAAGTCTACGTAGTGTAGAATGTTTCATTGTTAAGTCTACGTAGTGTAG